CTGCCGCAGAGGTGGGAGCTGGGTCCCGGGTCGCCTGGCCACCCGGTGTCGCTGTGGCCTGCAGGGGGCTTTGTTTGCCCTTTGCCCTCGCTTTCTCCGTCCTGCTCTGCTGGCCCCCACGTCTGCCGCCTCTTCCAATCCGGGTTAGAGGCGGGGTGGAGGGATGGAGGTCAGCTGAACGCAGTGTCCCGGCCCAGGGTGGGGTCCGCCCATCTGACGCGCCCAGGCCTGCGGCTGGGGTGCCTGCCTCCTCTCTCCTCTGCTGCCGGCGACAGCCCAGGCGGCCTCCTTGGTAGAAGCCCCCAAGGAAGATGGGGTCCGAGCCCCTCCTCTCCGGAGCGTGGCCTGCCAGCCCCGTGCCCCGTCTCTGCAGCACCTGGGGGGGCCGTTCGGTCGCTTTTGCCTTCTCAGTTTTCCGTGGGAGGTTGGAGTCCCTGGCCTTCTGGCCCGTCACAGAAGCACAAACGTGGATTGATACTTCCCACTGATGGACAGGATGCGGGTCCAGCAGGCGCTGGGGCGGGGCTGGGGGTGAGGAGGCCCGAGGCACCCCCTTGGCAGAGCGGCCGTGCCCCTCCGCCCGCAGGGCGCAGCATCTGTGTGTGCTGCAAGGGACCCACCAGTGCCCACCGCGGGGGCAGGGCAAAGTCGGGGGAGGGCCCAGTGCCCGGGCCGCCCTTCCTCCCCCTCCCTCCATCCTCAGGTGCCTGCCCTGTGCCAGCTGCCGGGCTCTGTCCCCGGGACACGCCAGAGACAGAGCCAGCCTAGAAGCCGCGTGCCAGCAGGGACGGGCAGACGCACCTGCGCTGTGGGACGGCCCAGGAAGCCCATCCTGGTGGGGAACCCAGACCCGCAGGCACTGGGGCCGTCTGGCCCCTCCCACCAGCTCTCCTGCGCCCGCGATCCCAGGAGACGGGGTGTGGCGGCCACACATCCGCACCGGGAGCCGGGCAGGAAGAGGACCGTGCCCTCCAGGTGTGGGCTCCCAAGGCCCTGCGGGGGTGGCTGTCGGCCCCCCGTGGCCACACAGGCGGCCTGGCTGTGCTGGGTGGGAAAGGGGCTCGAGCCCTCCCCTGTGCATGGCCCCCGGTTCCCACCAGGAGCTGCTTCTGGGGAGGCCCCCTTGGTGGCTCCGTGGCCCTCAGGCCTTCGCTCCCTCCCGCCAGGGTGCGGGACCGCCGATTCTCTGCGGGGAGTGGAGCGCATTGGAGGACGAGGGTGGGCGAGGGCGCAGCACCGTCCAGAGCCGCGGGGAAGCCGCCTGCGGAGCCCCCAGTTTCCAAGCCTGACCTCCAGGAGGGTGGCGTCTGTCGGCTGCCGGCTCCACCACCGTGGCGGACACGCGGGCCTGTGGGCCGCGGGAGGGACCCCTTGGTGTCCTGGGTCACCATGACTCCCCCAGGGGGCTTTTTTGCTGGCTTTGTCTTTGGTTTTCTTCTGTCTTGTGGCTGCAAAACGCCAGAAGCAATCCCGCTCCGGCCGCGGAGGAGCGCGCACTCGGAGTCCCCGGCCTCGGTGGCGATGGCGGCGCCGCGGTGGTGCCCCGCCCTGGTGTTGTCCTGTGCACCGTGGCCTGTGAGGCCGCAGCCTTTCTCACGGCCCTGGGCTCGGCGGTGAGTGCGGCTCCCATGCAGCCTGCAGGGCGGGTGGGGGCCGGGGGGGGTCAGCTGGAGTCAGCGCGCCTCCCCTGGGACCTGTGCAGCCTTCAGTGGGTGTCTGGACCTGGCTCCGCCAGAGGACTTGGAGCACCTGTGTGTGGTCTCTCTGTGCTGACCGGTTCCCTCAGAGCCCCCGCCCGCGGCCGCGATTCTCAGCCTCGGCAGGCCTGTGGCCAGCAGAGCCCCAACCCGAGGGGTCCGGGCTGGGGGAGGGGCAGGGCCGCGGCATCTCTGTGGGCGTCTGCGGGCAGGCTGGGCACCCGGCCTGAAGCGTCCCGCATGCGTGCGTGTGTGTGTGCGTGTTTGCTGAGCTGGTCCCACGTGTGTGTGCGTGTGTGTGTGTGTGCGTGCGTGTGTGTTTGCCGAGCTGGTCCCACGTGTGTGCGTGTGCATGTATGTGCGTGTGTGTGCGTGTTTGCTGAGCTGGTCCCGTGTGTGTGTGTGTGTGCGTGTGTGTGCATGTATGTTTGCTGAGCTGATCCCACGTGTGTGTATGCGTGTGCGTGTGTGTGCGTGTGCATGTGTGTGTGTTTGCCGAGCCGGTCCCATGTGTGTGTGCGTGTGTGTGTGTGTGTTTGCCGAGCTGGTCCCGTGTGTGTGTGCATGTGCGTGTGTGTGTGTGCCGAGCTGGTCCCACATGTGTGTGCATGTGCGTGTGTGTGTGTGCCAAGCTGGTCCCACATGTGCATGTGCGTGTCTGTGCGTGTGTGTTTGTGTTTGACGAGCTGGTCCCACGTGTGCGTGTGCGTGTGTGTGCGTGCGTGTGTGTGTGTGCCGAGCTGGTCCCGTGTGTGTGTGCATGTGCGTGTGTGTGTGTGTGCCGAGCTGGTCCCGTGTGTGTGTGCGTGCGTGTGCGTGCGTGTGTGTGTGTGTTTGCCGAGCTGGTCCCACGTGTGCGTGTGCGTGTGTGTGCGTGCGTGTGTGTGTGTTTGCCGAGCTGGTCCCACGACCCCTTTCCCAAGCCTGGCCAGATGTTTTCCCTGGAGACCGCGTCGCTGGCGAAAACAGAGACGGGCCTTTTCCCAGGGCGGCAGCAGCAGGCACCGGCTCCACGCCCCCGCGCCGGAGCCCTCCCTGGGCGGGGACAGTGCATCCCGGGTCTCCGCGGGCAGCGAGCAGAGCCCAGAAATAAACCTGGGGCCGCGGCAGGGAGAGGAGGCTCCACCGCACGTGGGCTCTGGGCCTCCCTCCCAGCCTTGGTGCTGCCAGGCAGGGGACCCTCACAGCTGCCCGGCGCTGGGGGTGGGTGCTGAGCTGCTTGGCCAGGGGACTGTGCACGGAGGTGGGCGTGGGCAGGGGGAGGCCGCCCTGAGCCCGTCCCTCTCTGTCCTGACTTCTAAGCCGCATTGGACATCTGAGACCCCTCTGCGGGAAGTCGGGTGACACCACACAGTTGATGGGGCGAGGTGGGGGGTGGGCAGGGTGCCCCTCCCCCGCCTCAGGCCTCGAGGCGCCCACACAGCCACACAGCAGCTCCCTGCTGGCCCATGTCCGCCCCCACCCCCGGAAGCAGGTCTTTGCGGGTAGAATAAGGGACGCGTCCTGGGATGAGGTTGTCCTGACTCTGCCGGGACCCCGCAAGGCAGAGTGAGCTTTGCCATGGACTCCAGCAGGGGTGGGGTGAGGCGGCACAGGCAAGGGAGGCCTGGGACCCCCGGACCCTGCACAAGGCAGGAAGGTGCCTCCCCGGCAGTCTCTGGGTGAGTGCAGCCCCGCCCACACGCTGGTGGCCGATTTGCCTGGCTGTTTGGAAGCCGCCTGCTTTGTGGCCCGTTGTGACAGCAGTCCACAGCTCCGGGCCTTGGTGTGCATAGCTGTGAGATGGGCACAGTGTTGGGCCGGAGCGTCCCCAGGCTCTCTGAGTGAAAGATCAGAAGCCAAGTGTGCCGGGCAGGGCCGGCACATGGGGAGAGCCCAGTGGATTTAGCCTCTGTCGCCGGCAGGATCACTGTTGCCGGTCATTCATTCATTCCGAGCACAGGCTGTGCAGGCTGTGGGCAGCAGGGCCGGCCAGGCCCCAGCCCCGAGCTGAGTGAGCTGTGGGCTGGCCCCGGGCGGCCGCCTCTGCTGTCGGCGTCTGGCAGAGGAGAGACGAGGGGCAGGACGTGGAGCTGGGTGCGGGTCCCACTTCCTCAGGTGGGACTTGGGGGGAGCCAGTGGCAACCAAGCTGGCCCCGCTCTGTCCTCTGGCTCCCGGATCTTCGCCCAAACTGCTCAGCTCTGCCCGGGCACAGACGTCACCGCCACGGGCCCCGGCGCTCACCCGGGCGTCTGTTTCACCCACTGCAGACCTGGTTTGCTTGGAAGTCACCCCGGGTTTCTTCGGCTCCGCGCCCGCTTGCCAGCAGTGTGGAACAGTCCCTTGTGCGGGTGCCTCACGCCCTGCGGGTGCCTCACGCCCACCCGGTGCTCACGGGGCGCCGCCCAGAGCCGTGGCCGGCTCGCGGATCGGAGCTGGCCGCTCTGCACCTGGGGCCCGGGGCCCAGCGCTCTCCCCCCGGCCTTCTGCTGAACTCCTTTGTGGCCCAGAACTGCAGGAAGGACCTCGGCCCAAGGCCCGGAGGACGAGGAGCCCGCAGCCCATGGGCAGTGCGCTCGGCGTTGTCAGTTTCTGTGCCGAGAGCGAGGAGCTCTCGGCAGCAGGGCGGCCACGGAGGGCCGGCGGGGCCCTGTGTCACCTGGTGAACGGTGTCTTAGCTGTGAATTCTGGGGAGGGAGACGCAGCCCAGCCTGCACGGTTGGGGTCCCTGCCCTCGGACAGTGCACCTGCCGGCCGTGAGTCAGGACGCCGAGGCAGCCTTACCTCCCAAGCCTCAGTGTTCCCATCTGTAAAGGGGGCAGCAGTGACGTCTTTATCTCTGGGGTGATGGAGTCGGCACCTACAGAGCCCCCGGTGGGTGCTGCTCCCAACCCCCACGCGGGGCTGCGGCTGTTAGTTGCGGCTGTGTAGGACTTGGCGAGGAGTGGCTGATCCATGAGGAGCCGGGCTTGAGCTTGGCTGACGTGGGCCTTAGGCCAGGAGATGGCAGAGACACAGCCTTGACCCCACAGAGGGAAGATGCCCACCGGGGGCCGTCGTCAGCCCCGCTTGGGGAACCAGTTCCGGGCCGAGGGTCCCGGGGTCCGCGCCGTTGTGTCCCAGGCTGGTGGGAGGGGCCCTCAGCTAAACTCCCTGAACCCACAGCAGTGTGTGCCCCTGGGGCGTGCTCCGGACCCTCCTCTCGTGCTGCTGGGGGCTGGTCCCGGCGGCTGTCCAGGTCGAATGCGGCTGGCGGCAGCGGCCGTGCAGGTGTGCCCCAGGCGGAAACGGTTTTCAATGCCACTCCTCTCCTTGGCTCCTAGACCAAGATCCACGGGGTCGGCTTCGTGAAAATCCACGCACCCTGGACCGTGCTGTGCAGAGAGGCGGAGTTCCTGAAGCTGAAGATGCCCACGAAGAAGGTGGGCGGGGCCGCGTGTGCCTCAAGACCCCTCGGCAGTCGGCCACGGGGCTGTGGCCACGGCGCTGTTGGGGTCCCGAGTCCCGATGGTGGAGAGCAAGGGGCAGCCGCGGGCGGTCTCCAGACTCAGGCCAGGTCCCACGGAGTCGGGGGCGGGTGCAGACCCTGATGGCGTCCGTCATCAACACAAGACACATTGCACTCTGTGTTGGTGCGTGTGGGGTCGCAGCGAGTTTTTCAGGCTCATTTTAGTCACATTTCCTGACTTGCTAGGATTTTTTTTGTCTTTCATCTCTGAAAACTTTATTGCAAAAAGGCAGTCTGGAGACTGGCGCCGCGGCTCACTAGGCGCCACCTTGTGGCGCCGGCACACCGGGTTCTAGTCCCGGTCGGGGCACCAGATCCTGTCCCGGTTGCCCTCTTCCAGGCCAGCTCTCTGCTGTGGCTGGGAGTGCAGTGGAGGATGGCCCAGGTGCTTGGGCCCTGCACCCCATGGGAGACCAGGAGAAGCACCTGGCTCCTGCCTTTGGATCGGCACAGCACACAGCCATTTGGGGGGTGAACCAATGGAAAAAGGAAGACCTTTCTCTCTGTCTCTCTCTCTCTCACTGTCCACTCTGCCTGTCAAAAAAAAAAAAAAAAAAGGCATTCTGACAGCAGTGCTTGGCCTGGCATCGCGTGTTTTGTGGACGGGGGCCCAAAGAGGCCGCGCCCGCAGCCGGTCAGCCTTGGGCTCCCAGGCCCCCGACGTGGTGCGGACGGCAGCTGCCCTGGGACGCACCGGAGCTGAGCTCTGGGCCGGGGGTGGTGGGGCCCGGCGCGCAGGCGGACCGCTCACCCGCCCCTCGGTGCCCACAGATGTATCACATCAACGAGACCCACGGCCTCCTGAAAAAGATCAACTCCGTGCTCCAGAAGCTCACGGACCCCATCCAGCCCAAGGTGGCCGAGCACAGGCCCCAGACCACCAAGAGGCTCTCCTACCCCTTCTCCCGCGAGAAGCAGCACCTGTAAGTGGGTCCGCCCCGCCCTGCCCCCACGGGCTCTGTGCAGGGTCCACAGAGGGGAGGGACCCTGGCCCCTGGGCGTGCTGCTGAGCCCGGAAGTGGCCGTGAAAATGCCCACAAGGTTGCTGTTTGCTGAGGATCTGGGGGTGCACGGGTTGGTTGGTCCTCCTTGGGGGACGCCCACCCCTCCTGCTCGGACTTTTGGGGACCGCTGGCCAGGTCGGGCTGACCGTGCCTCCTGCTTCACAGCAGCCGTAAGCCACAGGGAGCCTCCCTCTCCCTTCCCTCCTGGAAGCGTGGGCTGAAGGCATCCCCAGGGCGCCCACGGCCCCTGTTGCCTGGCAGTGCCTCACCTGTCATGGGACCGTCCCTCCCCCCGCTCCTAAGGGCACTGGGGCGTAGCCACCTGGGTCAGCCAGGCTGCAGGCCAGCCTACCTGGGCCTCGCTGGGCACAGCTGGGAACAGGAAGCTGGGCTCTGGCAACACAGGGGGCCTGGGGGAGGGGGGACAGGAGGGTTCCTGGACGCCGCTGGCCTCCGGAGTGGAAGAAAGGGCAGGGGAGAGGGCCTGAGCCCAGTCTGCCCGGCGATGCTGGGGTCCCTGTGTGTCAGAGGGGCAGGCGTCACCTGCTGTTACCCATCCTGATGGGGGCCCAGCAGGAAGGAAGCGGCCCCCAGCTCCAGGGCCCGGCCCCCAGGGCTTCAGAGGGAGGCAGCCTCTCCTCAGGCCCACCTGGTCCACCTGGTCAGCGCCGGTTCACCTGCCAATGGAAACCCCCCAAGCCAGCCTCCCCAGCTCCCCCCAAGAACCGTGGGCAGCGAGTAGCTATTCCCAGGATGCCCTCCGCTCAGAGGAAGCCTCCGGCCATCTCTCTGCAGCCCAAGGCAGCTGGCCCCATGCCAGGGGGCGCTCCAGGGAGACTGGTCACCCCGGGACCCTTGAGCTGCCCCCTCAGCATTGAAGTGTAGACCTTGAGGGCGTCTCCCAAAGCAGCAGGGGCTCAGCTGCCCCTTGGGGGTCTCCGGAGCAGGGGTGGCTCAGCAGACCGCTCCAGGCACCAGGGGCAGACAGCTCGTATCTGCTGTGTGCGCGCAGAGCCACGCCCGTGTCCAGGTGGCCGCTACGGACCAAGGGTGGTTCTCCTGGGCGTTGGGCTCCAGGGTTCACCGCTGGTGATCCGAGTCCTGTGTCCCCCCAATTCTCCCGCAGGTTTGACCTGTCCGACAAGGACTCGTTTTTCGACAGCAAAACACGGAGCACAATCGTGAGTATCGCGTGTGTGCACGCAGCGGCCCTGGGGAAGCCAATGATCATTTCATTTTCCCGACACTCCTGCGGGAGCGGCCGGCTCTAATTGCCTGTGACAGAAATAATTAGAATAATGAGACGAGAGGGCAGCGAGGGGCCCAGGGGAGGGCTGCCGCCCGGGGCCGGCTCAGAGCAGGTGCGCGGGACACAGCAGAGCAGCGGGAACTGAAGCAGCGTAGGGGAGCCCTCGAGGGACGGACTTCGGCCGGCTTCCCTGCCTTTGTTGCCCGTGGGCTCGGTGCCACGAGCCCGGCGTTCAGGCCCCCAGCCCGGGGTTTCTGGTAGAGGCACAGACGAGCTCCCGAGGTTTGAAGTCTGACCAGGCCACCCTGCCCTGCTCAAGGTGCTGGCTTAATGTTTACCGGTCAGACAGCGCCAAGTTGTCCACCTGCCAAGCTGGGCCTGTGCATGGCTCGGGACCCAGTTTGTGTCTCAGCCAGAACCTCACCGGCAGCCGAGCCCTCGCTGCCGTCCTCTGTCCTGCACCATAGCACAGCGAGCAGGGAGCCAGCTGCGGGGCGGCCGTGCAGCCAGGACGGGCACATCTGGGTGCCGTCTGCTCTTGGCCCTCTCCCGGCCTCACGCCCTCGGGGGTCGCGGAGTGTGCGTCAGAATGAGGACGCTGGCCCCGTGGAGAGCGAGACGCGGGCGCCGAGCGGGCACCGAGCGGCTGCCGGGATTCTCCCTACTGACGGAGCTGCTCGTTAGCGTTAGCGATTAGGCCTCGTGCCGGTGAGCGACGAGGCGCCCCCTGGCTGGAACTCGGGGCTGGCCCCGTGTCCGGAAGAGGCGATGCTTGTCTCTCGTGGCCGCCTGGGAGCCCCCTGCAGGGTTGGCCTACGTGGCTTCCCGTTTTCCACGTCACTGCGACAGGGATAAAGCTGCAGCGGCCCCCCGTGGACAGAGCCCCACGCCAGGACTCAGAACACGGGTGCTTGTGGAGGGCACGCGTTTGGCCTCGCAGTTGCGATGCCAGCTGACGCCCCCACCTGGGTCCTCCCAGTGTTCCTGCTGGCACACACGCCGGGAGGCACTGGGGGCGGCTCACGTCCTCGGGTCCCTGCCCCCAGCGTGGGAGCTCTGTGCTGGGTCCCAGCTTCAGCCGTGCCCAGGCCTGGCTGCCAACAGGCGTCTGGGAGGTGATGGGAGGAGAACCAGCAGGTGGGGTTCCCTGGCCTCTGCCTCTCAATGAATGAATGAGAGTCGGTAGGGAGATGGAGTCAGGAAGCCGCTGCGAACTGCATGGCTTTCCCATCATGCACGGCTTTGTGAACTCTTTGAAGACCCTTCCTTGTGCACCCGACTTTGTACGCTGTCTGGGGGGTGTTGTGGAATGCCCCTGGGGGCCGGGGCAGCTGTAGACCGTCGAGGGGGGCAGGCGGGCGGAGCACCTGCTGTGAGTTGGGTTTGTGATCCCTGGGATGGCGTCACCATCGTCGGCACTCTGAGCCACCCACGTGTCCGCTGACTTCCGGCGGGGAGGGGCGGGCAGGCTGTGGGCGCCGGCTCCCCTCCCAGGGCCTGGCCCCCGTTTGCCAGGCCTCCTGGGCATGAAGGCTAGCGTCGCAGCGTTGGCGCGGGTGTGCACGGCTCACAGCACCCCCACTGCCCTCCACGCGGCCGCTCCACTCCAGATGTGGGGGCGCAGCCCGGCAGGCTCCAGGCGCGAGGGGCCCGGTGTGTGGGTGTTGGGTCTCAGATGTTCGGTCTGTAGCACTAGGGAGCCACAGGAGGACGTGGTCAGGGCCGGAGAACTAGCAGTCACTTCCAGGGCCGCACGGAGGGGGAGGGGGCAGGTAGAGGGCAAGGTGGGGCCACGGCTTGTGAAGGGGGCCCCAGGCCAGGGAGCAGGTGGTAACGGGCGAGGTGGGCGGTGGGGAGGGAGCCATGAGGGCAGCTGGGGGGGGGGTCCTTCCCTGGTGCGGCGGGTGTTTG